GTTTTTAAAGATTATATGGGTTTGAGGGCTGCTGAATGTCACAGAAAGTTACTAAATACATAGAAATCTGAGCTGACACTGGCTGAACCCTGAGCAGGTGGTAGAGGGAAGTAATTAATTACATTTCTTAGTTATGTGCTCTCTCCTAGGCAGTACCTTTAATGTAGAAACAAATTAGAGCCTTTCATAGTGGTTTGAATGTACTTGTATTTAGCTGTCGCACAGTTTAAGGTGCAACTATTTGAACAAGGGAATGGGAATTTTCTTAAAATCTATTAAAATGTAAACACCTATAGAGAATTTTGTCAGGTTTAAGCCTTGCTGTTATGTTAGTTTTGGGGAGAGTTGCCAGTGGTGGCCTGAAGGTGAAAAAGATGGTTACAACATATATGTTGTACCTATGTGTGGTTCTCATTAACCTCTAAATTCACCTAGGTAGAGTATATTATTCACTATCTTAAACTTTTTACCAGTATAAGGTAGAAAACAAAGAAAATAGACTACTAAATTAGGATACAGTGACTATACAAATCTAAAATTTGCTCCTGTTTTGAGAATGGTTTCAACTCACTCTTTAGAAATATTTGTTTCTGTGTATGGGGTGAAAAAGTGATAAAAGTTTAATTTACAGATCAGAACAGTAGTGAGACATAAATGAAGTTGAAATAGTTACAATTACTGTGAATTTTGCTACTTAAATTAACTGGGTAGAGAAAGATCCAGTAAAGCAGATGTTCCCACTTTGTAAAAAGAGCATTTCTAATTAATTAGAATCTGGAAAATAGTTTATTGAAAAATCCCTCCATGTTGGCTAAATCCAAGGAAGTTCTTTTTATACATTTGAAGGGAAATATAAGTTATTTATTTTATAGTTTTGCTAAATATTTCCATTGTACTTTGACCTTTTATTTTTTTTTGATTGAGCCAAAACTCCTTTTTCTAGGCTAAATCGATGTGTTTTGCCTTGTATAAACTTCAGTTGAATATAGTGGCAGTATTTTGAATTTTACACTCTCAGACTTCAAAGCAGCATGTCATGTGATTTGTTATACTTACCACAAACTATGAAGCAACCAAAACTGTTGATACATAATAAAACCAAGAAACTGCAGCAGATCTATGGTATCAAAGCCTCTGATGCAAGCCAGTGTATTATGATTCTGCATAATAGACAAGCTTGAGTAAAGTGGTGCCTCACAGTTGAAGTTCTCCTATTTAAAGACTTTGAAAGAACAAGGTTAAGTTAAATTGTTGAGTTTACTCTCTGAACTATATTGCAGTAGTCTAAAAGGAGTTTTTCCAAACAAATGAGTTTTCATATGTGTGTAAATGTAAGAAAGCTTAACAGATAGATACTGTTTCAGAAAATCTGGAGGAGTAAGGTGATGGAAAGGATGAGAGAATTTTGATTAGTCCTTTTATACACATTTTTCAGGTGAAACAGGAAATCTTAATAGAATAGAGGAGAGTAAGGTTTTTGTACGCAATATTTCTTCTGATGCTTTTCTCCTTTTCTGATCCTTTTCTCCCTTTAAAAAGGTGAAAGAATAAATTAATGTAGTGGTCTAAACCAGCAGATAAATAATAAATGATCTGTCCTTGAATGCCCACTGTACTGACAGCTTGATTCCTTGTGCTAGGTATAGATTATATACCCTGACTTATATGTTTAATTGAAATTACTGCTCCCTGTTGCCCTTTTGTGTTATGGAGCTCCTTCAGATCCACTGAAAAGACCCAACTAAATCATCCATACAAATCAACCATATAAATTCTTTTACTAGTACTTAATTAGTTAAGTAATTATTATATTACTGCTAATATAGGTGGTCAACATTGCTTTGTGTGAATAGGACAAAAGTGAAACTAATGGTGCCAGTAGCATTAAAGTGAATCAGTCATGAAATCAGTGTAATATAGGCCAGGTTCACTGCATGAGTGTGGTAAGTGGCTTCACTATTGCACTTCTAAACCCCATGTGGGGGTTGTTCTCTGAAAGTGGTCTGGGATAAACTGGATAGGAGATTTCTTTCTACTGTCTTCACTGCTCATTATGTCTTTAACATTGACCCCAAATAATTCTGTTTGATGTTAATAAATACGAGCTCATATTTGGATACTGTCATTAATCTGAGAAACAAAGCATGTTTTTCTAAGAATGAAGAAAATCAGATGTTTCAGAAATGAGGAAAGAAAGACTAGAAATAATAATCCAAAGAAAGGCAGTAGAAGTGTATTACAAAAGGTGGGTGTAATTTGCAGCATGCCTGTAGGGAAATTGCATGAGCAGAAAATCTTTTAGAGAAGTTCCAGATCTCCCCTTTGGGGGAGTTTTGGCCAGGCTTTTTGTATCTTATTGTGCCTGCTTCATGAACCAGAGGAGATTCATTGTTCATGTCTTGAACCTGAAAAAGTTTGTGTTTTAAAAACTTGCATATTCAAACTTGCACTTTCGAACCTTCAGTCTGCTACCTCACCATCAAACCTCTGAGTCTTATAGATTTAGATCATAAAATCTATCACATTATAAAAAATAATAAAAAACAATGGTTTTACTACTATTCCCATTCAGAATTCTTAGAAGGGGTGACAGACCCTATATTCACTAACACTAACAGTCTTGGTTGACACTCTTTACTACCTTAATTTGGACTTGCGTTATTATTTATCTAAATATGAAGAAAGATATTGAGGTGCTGGAGTGTGTTCTAAGAGGGATCCAGGGTGCAAGTCTTACATGGAGTGGTTGAGGCAGCTGGAGGTGTTAGTGTGGAGAAAAAAAAAATGAGAAAAGACTAGGTGTTACTGCTCTCTACAAGTACCTGAAAGGAGGTTTAGCCATGTGGGATTCAGCCTTTCAATAACAAGTGACAGGACAAGATAAAACATCCTCAAGTTAAATCAGGATGTGTTTAGATCTACTGTTAGGGCACATTTCTTTACTGGAAGGGTGGTCAAGCATTGGAACAGGCTGCACAGGGAAGTGCAATCACCATCCCTGAAGGTATTTGAAAGGTGTGTAATGTGACCCTTGGGGACATGGTGTAGTGCTGGGTTAATGGTTGGATTCAATGATCTTAGAGGTCTATGATTCTAAATTGAAGCTTAATGTACTTAAATAATGTTCCCAGGTGCACTCCTTTGTAATGGTAGATGGTCTGAGACAGACTGTGGTAGTTTTTTATTTTGGGAATTAAAAAAGCAAAGACAGAGAAAGAATCTTGTTAGAATGCTTTAGGTTTTGCAGACTGAGGACTTCTCAGAAGCACTAAATTTGTAGAAAGCTGGCAGTGAGAGATGTGGGTGTAGGAAAAACATTTCACATAGATACAAGTGAGCTGTTATCCAGTATTTATAATGCTGATATCATGCACTGATACATGGTTCTAGTTTTGAATAGAGAATGTCCCCGTTGGATATAACTGAGTATTGTAAATTTCATATCTAAATAATCCAAATAGGATTAATTTCTAAGACCAGCATCATCCCATTTTTCAGAAGATGCAGCATTCATAAACGTTTGGACCCATTCATGATGGGTGTAATGGATACTTCTGGAAACTAACATTCTTCTGGATGGTTCATGTTTAAATGAGCGCTGTATTCTCCAGAGGATGATGATAGTTTCTCACTTTACCTTTTCAGATTTTAAAGTTTTCAGGACCAGGGGGTGCTGATCAGCAGCTGGCTGAATGTGTGTGCCCAATTGGCCAAGAAGGCCAATGGCACCTGGCCTGTATCAGAAATAGAGCAGGGTTGTGATTGTCCCTCTGCTCTCTGCATGGGTGAGGGCACACATTGAGTATTGCATCCAGTTCTGGGCCCCTCATTGCAAGAGAGACATTGAGGTGCTGGAGTGGGTCCAGAGAAGGGCAGTGCAGCTGGTGAGGGGGCCAGAGAGATGAAGTCTTACGAGGCACTCCTCGTAAGAGGAGTGGCACACCTCATAAGGTGGGGGTACAGGAGTTGTTCAGTCAGAAGAGGAGCTTTGGAGGAGTCCTCTTCTCTAAAGCTACCTGAAATGAGATTGTAGCAAGATGGGGATCAGCCTCTTCTACCAGCCAACAGGACAAGAGGAAATGGCCTCAAATGGCACCAGGAGACACTCAGATTGGGCACGAGGAGCAATTTTTTCACTGCAAGAATGGTTAAGCATTGGAAGAGGCTGCCCTGGGAGGTGGCAAGGTCACCATCTGTGGAAGTGTTCAAGACATGACTGGATGAGGCACTTAGTTCTATGATTTAGTTGTCACAAGGTGGTGTTTGGTTGGACTCAGCGATCTTGGAGGTCCATCCTAACCTAATGATTTTACTCATTCTGAAGTCCGTCACCAGCTGGTTTGGTCTCTGTTCTGAAGCATGCAAAGCACAGAATGCAAAAATAGCTCCTTAGCAGCAGCATGTAAAGCAGCATTTTCCATACCAAGGTCAGGTAATTCCTTGTGTTTCCAAGCATGGTGGGAAGGAACTAGTCAAGACTGGAACATTGCTAATATGGCATTGAAAAAGCACTTCAACTAGACTGGCCATGCAAACATTCCAATCAATAGCATTCTTTTTTAATTTTTTAGATTTATTTGTGTCTTGGAGAAAATACAGGTATGTTTGTTTTATAAAATTTGCCCAGGTACAAAGCTGAGAAAATTTCTTTAATTGACTTCTTTATTTTTTCTTTTTAATTCCCAATTAAAAGTAGGGATAAAAAAAAGTTCACATCAATACATGCCACTCAAGAATTTTAATGTTTTTGCATAGCTGAAATAACTGGAATATGGGCTCTGCAAAGCTATTTTATTTTGTTTTGTTCTAATTAATTTGAAATCTTAAGCAACTGATGCATATCACTTTTTTGTTCTTCTGAATTTGTTTCATATTCATCATCCTTTAGATATGTGGCTGTTTCCATGGTTTACAAAGTGCTATGTTATATACAATTCATAATGGGGCTCTTCATCTTTATAGATGTCATATTTAGAGTATTTTTCTTTTATGTTTGCTAGAGTGACGCCATGGCATCATCAGGACTCTTCTTCAAAGATGGCAAAAAGCGCATTGACTACATCTTGGTCTACAAGAAATCAAGCCCACAGGTAGAAAAAAGAAGCACATTTGAGAAGAATTTGAGAGCAGAAGGGCTGATGTTAGAACGGGAGGTGAGTCCTGTAGCTTATGTGGCATAAAAAAGCCCCTTTATAATACTATTCTACTTTACTGAACTGATAAAAGATTCCAGATTACAAAAATACAAGCCTTTCCAGTCAGGCTGTTCTCATCATCTGCTTAACTGTATTAAACTAATAAAAAGAATAGTTTGATAGTGTGTGTTTAAAATGATTTGGAGATACATACTTGTACACAGAAGTGTAGTGCAGTACAGGGGGAAAAGTTCCAGCTTCTCATGCTTGCAGAACAGAAGCAGCTTCAGTAACCCATGGTGTTGCTTTAATATATAACCTCTCAGTCTTTCAGCAGAATGCCTGATGTTAAATGTCTCACTGTTTCTCAAGGGGTTAAGGTTGTCACTATTCTAGTTCATCTGTGGCTAGTAATAGTAGTATTAATAAAAAATGAAAGAAAATGGAGCCAGGGAAACATTGCCCTGGATTTTTGCTGTCTCATGAATGACCTGCAGAATGGGTATATATTTAGTCTATTCTGATGTAAGCTCCTATTGTTCATGTGTCTTTCATCTTGATTTTTCATCTCAGTAGAATTGTAATGCATGTTGAGTTTAAGCCATGAGCTTGCAAGATATAGCTCACAATATAGCATGTTGAATATTCATAAATAGCTAACCTGATTAAAATTTGGATTTAAGGCTTTTAAGAATTGTTACAGTATGGTAGTAAAAATATCTAGTTTTGTTCCAATTTAAACAAATAGTAAAATCTTAGCTTTTGTCAGTTCAGAATTACTGACATTCAGAAACAAATGGTTTTATAAGATCTGAAATATTTTGTTTTCCACAAGTATTGTATTTTATCCACATCTTTGGTGAAAGTAAAATATTTGAGGCGGTAGTATGGAACTGTGATATGATTTATGGAATGGGTAGGTAAAATTGGAAACATCTTAAGTTTAACTGCATGTTCTTTTACCTTTACTTACCAAACCTTGCAAAGTCAGGCTTTTGGAGGCTTTAATCAGACTTAACTCAATATATATATAACTCAATATAAAATCTCAAGCAAATACATCTGGGAAGAGGGTGGGGAACTGAAGTGTTCACAAGAGAAGGTGAATATAGAAATCTGTAAGGCTGAAACTCTTTTTTTAAGTATAAATAAATTAGTGATGAAAAACTGTGTAGAGTACACATTGTAATTTGAACAAAAAACCATCCCAGTTCATACACATTTGAAAATTCCCAGCAGGTAACTCAATTACTGAACCATTCCCTTGAGTTACCATTTTGGCAACCTGGAGCCTTCTCTCATCTGTTCTCATGTCTCTAGCAGCTGACCACAGTTCTCCTTTAATGGGAGACACACAGAATGGCCTTCAATCTGCTTGACTAAAGGTGATTTTTTTGAGATTTAAAATTAATTCCATGTAAAATTTATTCCATGTAAAAAGGTGTTGCATAAAGTCTTTACTTACGTCCATGACCACAGACCTTTCCCTACAGATGCCTTTTGTCCCACTTGTCTACACATACTACAGAGTTTGTAAGGGAAAAAGATTACTGATTTTCCTTTGTCTTGAAGAGCACTTATTTTCAGATTTGCATGCCCAATTCAGGCCTTAAATCAGAATTTGACCCTGAAGAATGCTTCTGGAAGGGTGGTTGCTGTAGGTTTAAATTATTAATATGTGTTTGCATATTACTGCTCTTTACAGCCAGCTGTTACCAACAGTGATATCATGTTTGTTAAAATTCACTGTCCGTGGGAGACATTGTGCAAATATGCAGAAAGAATGAACATCAGGATGCCTTTCAGGTATTGTGGAAACTATTTTAAGAAACCTATGATTTAGTGCTTAATATTGAAAGTTCATCACTTACTGAAGTCTAAAAGTGCAACCTTTACTGCTCTGTACCAGGTGTGCTCATATTTATTTTAGTGATGTGATAGGGAGAGAGGAGAAACAAATAATAAGTGCTGTTCTTTCCTCCTTTTTACATGTATACTATGTGTTACTTGTTTTCAAACTTGCCTTTTACATCAGATTGAGCATATGTCTTTTAGAAAACAGTAGTTCACGCATTGTTTTGGATGTTCTTGGCAGAGTTTCAGAAATTCTCCATCTGAGCTTGAGTGTCCTCCCTGATTTTAGGGTTTTTTTTGGAGTCTTACTGAAAGGCAGGTGAAACGACAGAAAATGTCTTCCATGTCTCCAATATAACACATATTGTCACAATTTGAGTAAAATGAGGTCCAGTAGCTTTCTTTAGTCCTGAACTGACTTCCTTGTCTGAATGCAAAACAAGTTTCTATCAGATTAATATTTGTTATTAATTTGTGGGACAGGTTAATATTTTCTGCAACAATACCTAAGTCTTTAAAGGAGAAAATGTGCCTTTTCAAATTGATTAACGATGCTCTTAGAGAAGAGCATATCCTGTGCATGAGTTCAAGGAGTAACTAGGTGCTAAAGTTGTGTGGCCCATGGAAAATGTCCTTGCAGCACTCCTTTCCCACTCAAACTGCCAAGTGCTCAGTCTTTTATGCTATGGGACTGTGGTCTCCTGCATTGGTCCTAAGACAGAAACAGTGATTGTGAATCATCATTGCTCAAATCTTGCTCCACATACCCAGTTCTGTAGTGAGTTTTCACATCATCCCATTAAGCCTTCAAAGGCCTTGCCATAAAAAATGTTTTCTGTAATAGTCATCTTCCATATGTTTAAAAATATTATTATAGTGCTATTTGAGTTTACCTAGTTCAAAAAATACTTGCCAGTATATTAAATATAGAAGTGTTTATCTAAGGGTATACACACATAAATAATCAAAATTGCAATTAAAAATTATATTTTCCTCCTCTTGATACCTTACTTCACAAAATTGTGTTTTAGCAATGGTTTGAATTCTTCGTAATTTTAGTTATTTCATAGATCTATAGTGCTCTCAGGACAAAAAAGGCTGGCTTTTGCAGTCCTGATTTATTTGGAAGGCATTCTAAGTCATGTTTGTTTTTTATATTATTAAATGCCATGTAAATATATTCTCTTAGTGTTTCCCCCAAAGTGTCTTTATTGCTGGACTGTTGCTTTGGCTTCTTGTTATCTAATTCATAACAATCTAATTCAAAACCAAAAGTAGATGAAATACTAAATTTTGCAATTTCATCTTTTTGGTAGTTTTGTTGTACAATGAAATACATTTATTAGGGAAGAAATTTTTCCACCTCTACCTCCATAATAGAACTGTGAGAAATAGTAAATTGGTCAACATTTCAGTTATCTTTAAAAAGATTTTAATAGGAATTTAAATGAAATTGTAGTCTAGAACTTGTGTGACTATTTTAGTATATTTCTTGAATTTCTGTACCTTTTAAAACAGAAAACTCAACACAATTCTGTTGCAAACACAAGCTGGATGTAGCAGAATTGAGGAATGGTCTGCCCTGCTTTGCCAGCAGCCTTTCTAAAGTGTCCCTACAGTAGATGAGCAGTTTTTCATGATACCTTCCTTCTCTCTTTTTAGAAGGCTGTGCTTTAGAAACTTGCTGAGACAGAGTTCAAGTCTTCATCTTTGTTCATATTTGCCCAGATAGCTTTTTCACGGATGCAGAAATATAAACCTGCACTCCTGTAACAACATCCTGTGACCGCACATTTTTTAATTTAATTACATATTCTGTTAAGAACAATTGTGTTTGAAGTGTTGAACTTGCCTTTTTTAATGAAATGTTTCCTACCTGGATGGTGTATGTTGTTTTCCTGAGGTAACCATTCAATGGACAAAGGAACCTCAAATGCTGCAGTTCTCCCACAATTAGTGATTACTAAGTGAACTAGAGCATCTTCCTCCCAAAAAGTTTTAGGTCATCCTTAGGTAGATTTAAGTAGGCCTAAGGGGAAAAGAGAGTTGGAGTTGATGATCTTTGTGCATCCCTTCTTACTTGAGATATTCTGTAATTCTGAAAAGCAAGTTATTTCTCATTGGCTTTATCTGTTTCATCAGTGGTTTCTGACTGGTTCTAGTACAAAGTTAAAGATGACAGATAACCTTCACTGCAGTACTCTAGTGCAGTATACCTGTTTGCTCTTGCACAGTCTTGCAAAATTTTGACTTTTAGTTATGGTCACTTAAATATACCATATGTCAATATCATATATGAATAACACATGAAGAATTCAATTCAAACTTTTTCATTTCATTTTGCTCAATCCAGGAATCTAAACAAAATCAACACAATCAAGAATTATTATCACACAGGGTACTTCTCTCTGTTTCTGAAAAGTAAAAATACTTTGGAGATTCACCCATACCCCAGAGCTGTTTTAGCATGGCATTATACCAAAATGTGCTGGCAGATATATAATATGTATCATATATGTAATATAGATGGAATCTCAGTGTCTCAATTGCAGAATGAAATTTTTCTAAAATTTAAATGGACAGTGTGTAGTAATCATTGCTGTCTTGTATATATGGCTGACTTTGCAATGCTGCTTTATTTGGAAGCACATGTACATGGTTTCAAATAGGGTAAGCATCAAAGCTAGGGCATGACTGAATTACAATTTTTAAACTTTTATGGGTATTTTTGTTAAGTATATGGTCTGTCAGTAGAAATACAACTACTATGTGTTTCTAGAACTGAGGCAAAGCTTTAATTTTGTCTACAAGTATCTTGCAACATATAATTATTATTTTTTGTAGTTAATAAGTTATTTGTAACAGCTGAACTCCATCTGGGCAAAACAGCTAAGGGTAAATAAGGGTTTTGTTAAAAAAAAGTCTGAAAACCCTTTAATACCCTTCATTTCTTCATTTACAATGCTGCCTAGCAGTACCAAGTGTCAGGCTGCCAACAGTCTGCAGATTGGTAGATACATAATTTTCAGATGGCCATGTATTTTCCAGACAAGGAGCCTTTCACCCTCTTTTTAAGGTATTAATTGCAGTGGATCTTCAATGTAAGTAATGTAGTTTAATAAATCTCACATACTGCCCAGGTGTGCAGTTGCAGATCTTCCTAACTCCTGAGGAATCTGCAATATCAAGGCTTTTGTGTGGTTGAAATGTGATGTGAAATTAAAGGAGGAGGCCAGAAAAAGAGCCTGAAAGCCTGAAACTAGATGTGGGAAATATAACCATGTAGCAAATATGTCTCAATTTGGTTTCAAAATAACTGTTCTCAGAACACTCTATTGGGAATTTCTGGTCTTGTTTCTCTAATTGGTGAAGGGTTCAGAGAAAAGAACTGTTAAGTGACTTACTGATCGGTTATCATTATTGTCAGTAGCTACAAATCCAAAATGCTATTTTAAAACAAACTTGAGAAAAGTGGAACTATGTTATTGTAATGACTTATTCTATTTCACTTTCCTTTTTAAAGTGTTTTTTCATGTTTTGGTCTATGAAAATGCATGTTTTTAAATGTCTAGCCTTCTTTTTTAACATATATGTCCCTTTCAACTGTCTCCTATGTGATTAATCTCAGCTGATTTTTTGCTGTTCTTTCAGGAAAAAATGTTATTACACTGACTGGAGGAGCAAAACCATGGGCAGGTTGGTGGGTGATGTGTAGCTTCTAATTTTGTCAGTCAGTCACCCTGCTAAAGAAAACCCATTCGCAGTTGTAAATTTATCCATGAAACTTGGAAAATTAGATTATTTTCCTGAAAACTCAAAATATGTCAGCTCAAAGTGCTAAAATATTCATCTGCAACAAGGTGCAGTTCTTTAAAGCTTTGCCAGTTGTCATTTTAGAAATGTAAAGATGTTTATGCCAGGGAAACAAACAAAAAAAGAGACCTTATCTTTGCAGCAAGGATTTAATACTGGATCTCTCTCTGCCCTTATGTCTGCTGACACCAAGGCATACCTCTTTAGCATCAAGGATGCTTTTGAGTGTGTGTCTCAGATTCAGGCAGTCAGCTACTTCCTTAGATATGCAAACAGACTTTTTCTGCTGTGTGTCCTCCTGATCAGGAACAAATTAATGCTGCGTGCTGAAGGCTGCTTTGAATTTTTGTTTGCTAGCTGAGAGAGTAACTTGCAAAACTCACTTGTAGCTAGCTGCTGCTGCTGTTGGTGTTTTTGTCAGCCAGAAGAAGGGTACAAGAGGCTATAGGGGCAGGGGAAAGGAGCCTGGGAGTGCTAGGGAGTGAGAATGGGGGACACTGAGCTGTAGTTTCTCCCCATCACTTGAGTCAGAAATAATTATGTCTTGTAAATCCTAATCCCCATCAGAAAAGATACCTGGAAATATTTCAGGTGAGGGAAATCTCCTGAAAGAGTTCCCCATCACAGGTTTTCTTGAGATGGATCTTGAGATGAGCTCACTTTTGATTTAAGTTCTCTTATTGTCACTTTAGATGGTAAAGATATCTCATTTCTCTGGAGCAATTTAGGGAGTCTCACGATAAGTTTCCAGGACGATCAGCTAACAACAGCAGAATATTGAATGGTAAAGTGAGAGAACTTGAAACATATGAGCTGATAGCATATGTTGAAGTAAACCAATTTATAACATAGATTTACAACTGCGTTTTGTCCTCTTCCCAGTTCCCATGCTTGCTCCATCTTAGCATGCATTTTGAAAAAGCTAAGTGAAATGCTTGCAATAAAAGGCAGAATCAACAAGCTTTACTTCAGAATTGTCTTGTTTCATCTACAATCCATCTGGTGGGTCCTGGATATTACATAAATTTTGTTTTCCTTATTTAGAAGGACAGATGTCTGAAAGATGCAACTGAAATTGCACAGTACCTGTGAATTGACTAATGAGTAATTTCCATGCCAGATTGATTTTGTATTTGACATAAATGCTTTTACTTGTGATTTATTTTGTGAGAATTTGGGTATAAATATTTTTATGCTTATATTTTCTGGCACTTTATATAATTCAGTGCACAGAGGAATTGTGTGAAACAAAAGCAATATAGAAAGAAGCTATATTTAAAGTTGAAAGCTAACTCTAAAATTGCTGACATACACATTGCATGCATACTTTTATTTCTACAACTGTCATTGTTACCTTGCATCTTGCAACTTTTCAAACTTTACTGCTTTTCTGTAATTTAATCTCTTGTTAAAATTTCTAAGTTAGAGTTTATAAGAGCTACAGTGAAGAAGTATATTAAAATTCTTTTATATCAAAATATTAAGTTTATAAAGTTTCTATGATTTAAGAAAACAAAGAATTCTAGTATAATTCTAGTATATTAGACCTGCTGTAACCTGGACCCTTCTCTAACTTTATTGACACAGTTATATGATAGGTAGATGTGTATCTATAAATGTTCTTTAAAAGATCTGCAAAAGATTATTAGGTGCATTAATGAAAGGACAAGAAAAATGTAATACTTAATTTCCTTTACGTGGTATCCATGTGGTCTGTTTATTTACACAACTTTAAAAAGCCTTGACATTGTGTTTAATTCTATGAAGCTTGATTTCTATCCATAGAATCCCACTATAGAAATAAATCTATCATATTCATTATGAGCAATATTTGGAAAGACTTGTTCTTCTCAAAGGAAAGAAATATACCTATAAATAGGGTTGGTATCAAAAATTGTCTGAGCTCTCAGATTGAAGACTGAATAATCTAGTAAAACTGTCTTGTAATTGCCACATTGGACCTGCTGATTTCATGCTGGTAAAGGATGGCGTCAAGGAAAAGAAAATGAAAATATAGTTGTCTTAGTCTGCAGCTGCACTCTGCCCACTGAAATGTTAAAATCACTTAATACTTCTAAAAATAGAGAACCAAAAATGTCTTTGTTCAGCACCTGACCCACAGTAAGTTTGCTTTGCAAGAGGACTTAAAATCTTTGGGATTTCAGTCTGCACACTAAAGTGAAATTGTTGGTATCATTCCAGTAAATAAAGGTATGATTATTTTTTTTTTAGTGATGATTGTGTCTATATGTTGAATCTGTCAACCCTAACATGTTTCCTATTACATGGAAATACACTGTGCCCAGGTAACTTGGTGGCATGTAGCTGACACTTGGCCAGTCTTGAGAGACACAAACACCAAGCAAACTGCTGGGTGATGATTGCTATCAAAGCTGCCTAACATGACTGCTGAAGCTGCTTAATTCTGGTATCTCATTCCATGAGTTTGATCAGATAATGCTAAAATTGTCTATATACTGTGTTTCTTTGCATTGCAGTCTGTTGAGTAAGCATAATCTGCAAGGATTTTTGGGTGAGCTTGTTCTGCAAAAAAAGACTAACCAACCAAATAAATCAGATGGGTAAAACTGAGAATGGGAGTCGAGCAAAGCTGAAATTACAAGTGTCTTCATAAAATATTAAATTGTATAGCTAAGAATGAAATGCACATGCAATTCAGAGTGCTGTCCCTTGGTCTGAGGTGTTCCTGTAGCACCAGCTGGAGTGGCTTCAGTAAAAGCAAACCTGAATCAGTATCCCATAACATTGCAGCACCATTCCACTGGGACATTTTTTATCTCCTTGCCTGAATTCCCCAGAGCAGCTCTCTCTGCTTTTACTGTAGCTAAATAGGATACATTGAGCAGATTAAGTCAGGAATCTGTTTAAACTGCTACTTTAAATCTAGAAAGTCATTCTGAGTAAAAATGCTAATACTTAGTCCTATGATTTAGGGAAAAATCTGTATTTAAAGGCAAGCTCCATGAAAATACAGTTTCTTCTTCAACAGTAAAATAACATAAGAAAAATGTCTCTCTTGGATCATTTTTATACATTCTCCGTTGCAATATTCTATGCTATCTAGTACTAAAGGCATTATATTTTTTCTCAGAAGAGAAACTGCAAATGTAATGGGGACACAAGCATTAATTTATTCCAATGCTGCTTTTCATGTTAAAAGAAGCAGTCATGAATTTTAAACAAGAGCTGTCTTTTTTTAACATAATATTTATCAAATTTTTTTTTAGATTTTTGTATGGGAGAAGTGATCAAGACTTTTCCCATAACCAATTTTAAAGTACTTTCATAATGAAAAAATCTGAAACTAGATGCACTGTTTTTCTCTTCTTCCTGATGCATCTGCATATTTTCCTCATTAAAAAAGAATTCTGGATTCTGACTAAAAAGTCAGTAAGCGTACAACAGAAAAAAAGGGTTCAAGAGAGTAAAGGAGAAAATGCATTTATATCAACTATACTAAGAGAGTTTCTGCTGGAACTAATAAAGATAATCAACTCACTGAGGTATTATTAAGGAGACACTTAAAGAATCCACCAGCCTCTGAACTGTGTTCTGTGTTCCAATTTCATGAACACATGATGTTCTTTGGCTTACAGTGCTTGGTGTTGAACACAAGTGGTGTCCCTCAAGTGCAGTATCAGTTACAACAGAATGTGCACCAATATCTTGCAATATATAGCAAGAAGATATTTTGAGAATTTTAAATGTAACTGTAAAATCCTTCTCCCACATTTGGCTGAAATTTTTATCTGATGCTGTGCGAAGTGGGGGTTTTCTGGTTTTGTTGATGTTGATAATAAGAAGTATTTTCATAAGGGTTACTCTGTTGCATGAGAGCAATTTGCCACATCATTACTTATAGTCTTTACTAGGAACATTATGAAAATAGCTGCATTCACATTATGAAATATAAATAACATTATGAAATGTAACTTTTTATTATGGGCATTATGAAATGTATAGCTGTGCTTCTGCTTAGCCCAGGCAATGAGGTATTCACCTCAGAGAAAAGAATTTGTTGCTTAGCTTTACACTTCTTGTGGATGTAAAATATATATGCTTTATATATCATACATACATATTCATTGAGTAGAACCTGAATTCCACCAAAAAAAAATACTATTTGGGGAATGTTTTTCTCAAATTTAGACTTTTTCTGAATCTCTGATGTGCTTATTGTGTCATGATATAGCACATTTAATTTGAAGTCAATTCCTTAAATAACCATGTTGCATTGCAATTGAATATGAAAAGGTATAGGTGAGCAAGGAGGGCAAAATTCATTTGCTCACTTAAAAAATTAACTGCACTTGACTGGATTTACACATGTATGAATGATGTCCTGAGACATCATTTAGGCAACATGCCAGTAGAGAAAAAAAACATTTATGTTGCCAGTATGTAATTTAATTGAAGATACAGCATTGATGTTCTGTTTGTGTTCTGTAGTATCAATTTTTAAGGATCTGGAGGAAGCCATATTTAGGGGTTTTCTTGCCTAAATACTGTATAACCATTTTAGTGTAACATCCTTTATTTTTTTATTTGATATTTAGGTATACTGTTTCATAAGGCAATATCAGCTCTTGGATTTTTAAGAAAATTTTGCAGGGGAAATCTTTGTTGCAGTCAGAAAAACCATAATCTGATCCTTAGCACTCTCAAATATACTTAAAAATTTTATTAATTTTAGTGTCCACGTTGCCAGGCAAGAGAGTGGGGAGGAGTTTCACTTGCTTTGTTCAGTGCAGCTAGGTATGTTCTCAGCTAAGGCATAAGCATCTACAGTTCTGCCAGATGAATTACCTTGGAAAATTAATTTCTGCAGACTCAATACCACAGTCGCATTTTGAGCCGCAATCCCACTAATTTTAGGATGAGTTTTACTCAAGTAAAGTGTTCAAGATGGATTGCAAATAAATGTTGTTCATTTTGCTTTTTGACTCTTTATTTTCTGTTGCTTACTTAATGTGGAAGTTTCCTGCTTTCATTTAATTTCATTTCTAGAACAATGTCAATAAATATGCAGTGCTGCTGATAGAAATGACGAGGAAATGAGAGCGTGTCAACCTGACTTCTTCTTGTCTCAGTTTGCAGAGGAACATCAGAGAGCTGAAAAGCTGGCTGCCCAGAAATCCCATGAAGCTGGATAAGGAGGCCCTGCCTGATCTGGAGGAGACAGATTGCTACACAGCCCCCTTCAGCCGCGCGCGCATCCACCAGTGAGTGCTGGGGTGGGTGGGCAGCGCCACGCACCACAAGGGTTTCTGTTCCTCACTTCTGAGCAAGGGCCAGAGAGGGAGCTGCTGACAGATGGTCACTGGCAGTACCAAGTACCGTGTTTCTCTTCAAGTGAAAATCTGCTCTTTGTCACTTGCTGCTTGATGGTCACTCAGTAACATCATCTGAAATTTGATGGGAAGATGAATGTTGCCATTTTAGTTTAGAAGTTTTTGGTTTTTTGTTCCCTTACGTTACAAAATGCAAACACTTGCTCAAGTTTTCTGTGCTTATTACTTGCTTTACATAGGCAAAAACCTGTTGAGATTTGGAACACCAGAAGCAAGCTAAGACCAGTGATGATTTTCTTTTTCTCTCTTACCAGATCTGCATTTAAAAAGATCTATTGCCTCTGAAAATACAAATATATATACAACAAAACTATATGTTCAAATCAGCATGTTGACAATGCTATATTTAAAATGTGATATATTTTTTTCAGTACCTATAAAGTTAGGCTTTAAAATTCTGTTTCTTAATTTAAAGTTATTTTGTGATAACTGTTTTAGAACAGAAAAGTTAATTTCAAGTAGAAATATGAATTAGGATAAACAGGACTTTCCACTCAGTAAAGAACCTAAATGGTAGTGAACTGACTTTACCCCAGAAAAACAGAGTAAGTGCATTATAGTCTCAATTTTTTTTTTTCCCAGTAATTTACCATACTGCACTGGATCAATCCCCTGGTTTTGGTGTTTTTTCCTCAATCAGCTTAGCTGATGTAATGAACTGTAGTAGCACCACTTTTGGCACAGCTGAGCAGGAAGAAACCCCTGCATATCAGATTTCTCGTGTCCAGAATGGAGCCATCTGGCCAAGGCTGCTTTACTTGGCTCCATCCTGGGATCCTCTAAGGGAAAATGGTTGTGGAGTTTCTTCCCAAGCCTCTAGTGCGTGGATTTTTTTTTTAATAGTAATTTTGGTGGTTCCACTGCACAGACAACAGTCAACTCATAATTAATTTGAATTTAAGACCACCACTGTTACTGAAGATCTTTATTTAATTAATTATATCCAGAACAGTAATTAACTAGATAGGAGGACATTTTTGGTTTAATTTGTGATAAGGATAGCTTCATTGCACCTGCTGTAACTTTGTATAACCTTATGTCTAAGGAATGTAAACATCCACTCAATCATTGTAAAAAGAAAACACTTGAACAGCTATGTTTCAACGTGTGTGCATTGTTATGAATATTAAGACATTCATTATTTTAATAGTTTTACGATAAACAACAAAGACAGCTTCTTCAGCAATTCCACAAGAAGTAGAATTGTGCATCATGTGCTACAGAGAACGAAGTATGAAGATGGAAAATCCAAAATGGGTAAGAATGTTGTATTTTTTACCTAAGCCAAAGCTATAAAATTGTTCATCTTTAATTGCCTGGAGAAATACCATTTGAATAAACTCAATTAATTTTTTCCTATTCTTGAAATCTTTCCTTTCACACAGTAACAGAATTGAAACAGTGTCCCTTCATTTTCTACCTAAATATCTCTGTGAAAATTTGCAGTATTTTTCACTTAATTACTCATTCATTAAAATAAAATGGAGGGATTATTGAGAGCCGCAGTAAGGGTTACATATACCTCAGAAAGCTGACAATGTTTTCAAGGACTGGTCCTGGTATTTCAGCTACTGTCCATCAGTTTCAGTCCAGTAGAATCAATGTGTGCTACACTTAATTTATTTGAGGTGTCTATGTAGCTCAGAGACAGCTGATCTAAGACTGAATTTGCTTTATATCAATACTCATAATACAGTGTTAGTTTTTAGAAGGTCTAACTACCTATTTTCATTTTGAATGACCAGGGAATGTATGCATGATTTTCTATATTTTCTGCAGGAATTAAATTAAAGATTTAATATTCAGAGACTTGGATGATTTCAATTACAGAAAACTGTTGCTTGAGTTTCTGAACAAAAGCAGTAGTAAGAAAAACAGGAAGAATAAGTGTTCATATTTAGCACCTTTGAAGTTGATGATGGGAAATTTCATTATAAGATTAGTTTAGTATAATTTGTATATTTGAAGAGACAAATCTGTATTCCACCATATGTACCTGTTTCTTGGGGAAACTTTTGGCTACAGATTTGCTCTTCAAAGCTATTGAATCTTTTTGTTGTACCTATCAATGGTTATTTATTTTTTTGATTTTTATAATGTGCTGGGCTAGTACAACAAATCTGGTTTTAGGATGGCTCTAGGAACGGATCCAAAATGCAGTAGTCAGTCTGGCACAGAGCACTGCTCTGATATCAAATTTGTCAGCTGGCTTATATTTAAAAATACCAGTTTTAGCTGGTAGCTAAATAGCTACCTAATAGCTTTTAACCCTGCAAGGGTCTCACTACCTCAAGGATTATCTATCCATACCACTTTGTATATCAGATCATCTGGTCACCCATAAAATCTGAATTATATGCTCTGAGGAATACAGTGTGAATGTAACTATTTTCTCACAGTCAATCTGGTACAAGCACTCAGCCCTGAGAGAAGGTTTTCAGGCTTTGGTGCTTTGGCAAGTGGCTCTCTAGTTTGACACAGCCAGAAATCTGAAAGCATCAGCAGTACCTGCTGAAGTAGTTGGTGGGGTTATTGATTGTCATCTTCAGCAGCATTCTTATCATTTAATGCTAAGTTACATTCTCCAAATGTGACTTGAAAAATGTGTATGAAAAATTTATATCAGAGCTAATGTTTTTTTGGTTTTTTTTTAGGTATTAATAGGTTACTAAATAATGGCACATATGAAGCAGCATTTCCACCACATGAGGTAACCTGGTGTTAATTTGATTTTTAGTTTCATATTTAGATTATAGCTTCCACTAGTGCTTACTTTAATTCTGACCTGCAAACTTTTAATTTCATATTGTAATTTGTTGATGCCTCTTTTATTTATAGCTTTTACTTTGATATTGGCTTTTAAAATTTTCTGTATTTGGATAATTTGGATATTTTAGTGACATCCTGGAACATTTTCTGGTTTGATTAGGATATAATTATTTTCTGATTTTTATGAACTGCACATTGCCTGTTGAGTCCTTAAGCAGAGTATCAGTTGCTCCAAATTGTTCCAGTTAGTTTTATTAAATTATTTTTGCTTGCCACCTACAAAAGGATTTGTTTTTCTAATAGCTTGGCCAGTTGATCACGGTTAGGGAGACTGCTTAATTATTTTCTGTTTAGTATTTTCAGGATAGTTCTGGATAATTTCTAATATGCACTGAGACTGACTATTACTTAGATATGGTTCTCAAAAAGACATTCAGGCTGTTGAAGGAGCTGGATTTGGTTTTTATTGTTTTACTTATGTTTCCCTCTTAAGTGCCTGCAGATGTCCGTAGGGGAAGTCTTCATAATATGAAAAACAGAGTAGTTGTGGAATCCTCAAGATCTTTCCCCCTCAGGGAAATCCCCAGGGCTCTCCCCTGGAGAGACTTAGCATAGAGTCTCTCTGCACCTGGGTGGACAGATAAGACTTCCCCATGGAGTCTTGCACAACACTGATCCCCATTTCCCCATTTGTCCCCACTTTCCCTGGTTTCTCCTTTCCCTGTTTCCTCACTGGTTGGGATATCCCTATGGCCAGCCCCTTCTTCCCTTGGTACCACCCCCATAGGCCCCCCCCATAAAAGCCTTGTGCAGAGCACATGGTTGGTCTTTTGTCCCTTGTTCCCCTTCGGTGTGCTGAAATAATCCTGGCTGGAACTGACCCTACAGAAGGTCCTCTTGCCTCTCTTGCTGAGCCAGCTGTGGTGAGTGTGATGTGTGGACTTGGCTGCCTTGCCTGAATGCTCACCCAAGTGGCTTTTCCACAGGAGATGCTGTTTGGGAAATGAGATAGAGGTAGCAGCAACCACCATCTAAACCCCGCGCTGCTACACTTGACAATGCTTTTTCCAGTAGTGTAAAACTCTACTGAAGACTGGAAACCCACAAAATGAACTGAAAACCTATGTTTGACTTAAGAGGGTTTTGAGAAAACCCTCTTATGTTGAAAAGAAGAAGCAAGCCACACATCTTCAGTCTTTGAGATGCTCTCAGGTGTCACAGATGTCTTTTCTGAAAAATCCTTTCACTAGGATCTTTTCTCCTGAGAAGGTGGAAAGCTTCAGCTTCTCCCTGTTTTGCTGCTTTGGAATGTGATTAGGAGAATTGTTTACCCAGCATGTGAATTGCTTTTACTTGATGACCAATGACAGCCAGTTGTGTCGAGGCTGTGAGGAGTCACAAGATTTTATTATTCATTCCTTCTTTTGTAACCTTCTGAGGTCTCCTCTCTCTTTCTTTAGTATAGTTTTAATATATCATTTTCTTTTAATATATATCATAAAATAATAAATCAGCCTTCTGAAACATGAAGTCAAGATTGTCATCTCTTCCCTTGTCACAATTGTCTGCAAATTCCACACTTAGGAACATGGTGCTTGCAGCTCTGAACTCTGGGTGTTGCAGCTGAATATTGTGACTTGGTTTCGTGTTTCAAAGACTTTACAAATGGCTGAGAGTAATTTTTTAATTTTTAAATACTTTAGTTTTAATAATTAATTACTAGGAATACAGAGAAGGAGTATTTTTAGATAAATAATGTAACATCACTGTTAATGCTTCAGCTGTGCTTTACTGACTTCAGGGAAAAGCTGGCTGTACTACCATAAAAGCCTGTGAAGCTTTCTCTAGCATCAAAGCCATGCTGTCATATCCATTTTACATGTTCCTTTGTTATGGCATAAGCTACTCTTTCTACATCTCAGTTAAAATTAGTGAAATCATAGTTTTAAGCCACTCTTACCTTAATTGCTCCTTGACTGATGCTAAGGACTAGTGGTGGAACACTCAATTTTTTTTTTTCTTTCCCACATGAACAAATAAGAGTGAAAATTCCATCCCAGTGGGAATGCTGAGTTTAACTCTTTTATGGGTAACAGTGCAGGAAGAATCAGGAAAAAAAATGAAAATATGTAATTCTGGGTAATGCTTTGAAGTAATTTATCCAGCCTGCTGTGAGAATAAGTTGATGTGCTCTTCCTGGATGTTCCTAGGTGCTGCAAAGGTCACACTCAGTGTTGGCATCTTTGATATGCTGCTGTGCTAACTGTAAGGAGAAAGGAGTGGACTTGGAGTTTTTGCTATGTTTAGCTTTGTTTTTAACTCATTCTTAAGTCAAAGAACCAGCAGATTGCAACAAGTTGATGGTGTTCTTTGAACTTTGAGGAGTGCTCAAGATTTCAAATATCTGATAAAAATCTAAATGCCTTAGTTACCTGCATCTACCAGGGTCAAGAATCTGTCTGATCACTGAGGTGGGTGCTGGAGAACTCTGCTCTCCTTATAAGAATTACTTGGCTCACTTGCAGTCAACAATTGATGAAATATTTTCTTTACCATTGCTGAGTGATGGAAGTTGTTTGGGGAAAAAGTTCAACTAAGGGATATGTCCTGCTTCAGAATTGGAGCAAAATTACAAATGCAAGAGTTCTGCTCAAGATGATTCTAGCAAATGTGTGTGATACCTTTTGACTGCCAAGCATGAGGCTATTCTTTTAGTCTGTTTGGTGGTCTATAAATGTCAGACATGGCCTGGAAGGACTCCTTTTGGATCAGACTGACTGTTTTGCTTTTAATGCCTCAAGAGTCCTACGTAGTTTCAAAATAATGCCAATTCTGTTTCCTTCATCTTAGAAAGTATGTACCACAGAAAGAATATATTTTTCTATACCTTCAACAGTAGTGAAAGAAAGTGATAGAAAAAATCTAGGAGAAGAGAGCTGACATACTAGAAATTTTTAAAATTTTCTAGAAGGAATAAAAATATACCACAAGCATTTCTTGAAATATTTAAATAGGCAAAAGCATACAACTAGGCATCTATTAGTGAAATAAAACCAGAGCTGAGTACTTCTTTAAAGTCTTGTATTACTATGTTTCAGTATTAATTATTAGAGAAATGGACCATTTCAGAAGTGTATGTAACCCTGCCTCTTATGTCAGGCTTGCCTTAGCTCCTGATGACATGTTCCAGATGTGCCCAGAATAAGAGACCTATTTATTAAATATAAAGAACATTTCTATTAAAATTATAATAAAAAGCATCTAAGAAAGGTATACATTTTCCATAGTGCCTGATAATGTACTTACATTTCTTTGTGGTTTTTTTTTTTCAGGGAAGCCACAAAAGCAGGCATCCCATCAAAACACACGGAGCACAGAATCACAGACACCTCTTGTATGAGCGCTGGGCACGGTGGGGAATGTGGTACAAATACCAACCTCTTGATTTAATCAGGTATTAGTACTTGGAAGATTTTTCTCTGGTACAAAAAGCCTGGCAACAGTGTGCTAACTATATTCATCAATTCCTTATGCTTTCCTATAACATTTAGATATTCCCTATTATTGGGTAGGCTGGAGTTCTCGAAGTTGCTTATTTTGCGTGGTCTTTTGTAGATTAATTCCAAATGAGTCTGCCTAAAGAACATGTACTTCCAATTGCTCAACAATTTGCAGTGTGAAACTTAAAATACAAACCCATAATGTGGTCTGCTGATGAGAGACACTTGCCCCTTGTGAGAGCACCTTTGAAAGCAGACTCTTATCCACATGGACAGTCAGAGTTACCACATGCAGAGGACTTAAAATGCAATCCAATTTTAACCTTTCCATGTGGGTTTAAATAACTCTTATTTATGTCTTAGACTTAGTGTCATAGGTTACCAAATGTAAAATAGAGAAATACATATAATTTAAGTTAAATAATGATGATGTTTGGGTTTCACAGTTTTCTCCTCTGACATTGAATACCAGTAATTCATTTTCCTTGCTGTAAGTTTTTATTCCTGATCTGAATCATAACTGGTTATTGGTGGAGCTAAGCATGTGCCATGGGGCAATTTTATGCTGTTTCATCCTTGATTGACTTTCTGATCACTGCTATTTGATCTATTCTGGCAATTGATACCCAAGTTTTGAAGAATTAAAGTGCAGTCTTCAGCTTGTGTTTTCAGAGCATTGTTTTCACTAATAGTAGATAATATGTCATATTATCTATGTATGATTACCTATCATAAATGTTTTTTAAAATTGAATACTTAGGTCATACTAACTTACCTTATCCCTTTCCAGATTTTTTTTCTGTCTGTGTACATCCATCTGTCTGTCTAGCCTCTGTTTAATAATGTTGCTACTACTCCATCTACTTAGTCATTGCAAGAACATGGCAATTACAGAGTCTCTGCAGTTATATCCTTGTTCTCATAAATCTGCAGTTAGTGTCAGTAAAATATTACGCTAGCCTGAACAAAACCTGTTTGGTAAAGTGACAATTTTGCCAGAAACTTGTAATGATAGTTCCTTGTTAGAATTATTCTACTACTGTGACAGTTGAGATAGAGAGAAATCACCATAAAATTTAGTTTTAAACAATATATGTGTTTCCTTTTCATGTAGGCGATACTTTGGTGAAAAAATTGGACTGTATTTTGCCTGGCTGGGATGGTATACTGGAATGCTTATTCCTGCTGCCCTGGTTGGGCTCTTCGTTTTCCTCTATGGATTATTTACAATGGATTCCAGCCAAGTAAGGTAAAATTCTATTTAATAATATGTAACAGCCTATTGTTAATTAAGCACAGTCTGGCACAACTTAGATTGCTGTTCTTTTAAATGTTTTGCAGATATGGTAATAATGTAAGAATGACCTTATTAGAATATTGGGTTGTTGAGTCAAGCATTTACACTTTGTACATTTGTTTTGCATCAAGGCAAATATGTACTGCTGGCAGTGGCCATTCTTATCACTGCATTGCAGTGATTCCCACTAAGGAAAAACAGACCAATCTATAAGGACCAATGCTCATGTTGCAGATACTGCAGTAGTTGTTGATCTAATTAAGGCTAATGGGTGAAAAAACAGCCATATTCCATCATTACCTCCATCTTCCTATAACTTCCAGAGTGTAGTACAGTTACTAAACTCCAACTTTAGCCTATGGCTTTTTTTCCTTCCTCATTAATAGTGGCAAACTTGGACTCTAACAAAATTCTTACCTGTGTTGATGTAACTTGCAGCCAGGAGACTGAGCTTCAGGGAGATTGCAGCCACATAAAATGAACCAAGTTTTGAGTTTCTCACTTTTGTAATTTTACTCTGGGAGGGGTTCTGTGTCAGTTTGGATGTTGTGATGAGGGTGCTCAAGTGCTGACTGTATTTCTGGGAACTCTCTGAGGATCCCCTGTACTGCAAAGTATTCCATTAGCTGTTATCAGACAGTATCAGTATCTGTTCTTACAATTGCAGCTGTTGCTCCAAGCAGTTTGGGTGCTTAGGCTGTATGTATACTTGGAGTCAGATTTAATTGATAATGTTGTTTCTCTGGCTTTAAGCAAAATCATATTATGTTTTATCTAAGGAGTTTTCTTTAACTTCTATTTCACAGTGAGTTATTATATTCTACAGTGCTGTAATGAACACTTTTTTTAAGCTTGCTTTGTACAGCAAACTCCTGAGAAACCGTACTAATTCAAACCACATTAAATACAGTTAAATGCAATAAACTTAACAGCCAGGAAATGATGCTATCTTTAAGATACTGTATTAGGATTGTTTTTCATCATAAATGTCTTCAAAATGCAGTGCTTGTAAAGTAGAGGATCAGCCTGTTCTTAGAGCACAGAGACCACAGCTGTTGAACTGTCAATCTTGTATTTGTCTCATGTACGGTGGCACAATTCCAACAAAGGGGGAACAAGGGGCCATAATCTGCTATTATCAAGGTATAGCTTAGTATTTCTTCCTTGTGGAAGAGAAAGATGTGTCATTGGCAACTGCCCAAGAGAAAGAACAAAATTTCTAATAAGTTCATTCTTTCAAACTGTAAGCTATTATGTGCTTTTATATCATAGAATCATAGAATATCCTGGGTTGGAAGGGATTCACAACAAGGATCATTGAAGTTCATCTCCTGGGGCTGCATAGGACTGCCCCAACAATCCAACCATGTGCTTGAGATCATTGTTCAAATTCTTTTTGTACTCTGTCAATCTTGGTACTGTGACCACTTTGCTGGGGAATCTGTTCCAGTTCCCAGCTGCCCTGTGATTGAAAAACCCTTTTCTGACCTCTAACCTACAGCTCCTCTGACACAGCTTCATGCGTTCCCTCTGGTCCTGTCACTGGTCACCAGAAGGAGAGGAAGCTGTTAGATTCCAGCTGTTAGATTCCAGCTGTTGGACTGCTGTGAGATCTCCCCTCAGTCTCCTATTTGCCAGGCTGAACAAGCCAAGTGATTTCAGCTGCTCCCCATATGGCTTCCCCTTTAGGCCCTTCACCATCTTTGTGGCCCTCTTTTGGAGACTCTCTTAAGAGCTTTATATCTTTGTTATATTGTGGCTCCCAAAACTGCACACCATATTCCAGGTGAGGCTGCACCAGCACAGAATAGAACAGGGCAATCACCTCCTGTGTGTCATATACTTCTCCCAGGAAGACTTGCAGGTACAACTCATTTTTAACAGAAAAATGCAGATATTTTCCTTGCTGAAGGTTGCAGGGTGTTGTAAATGAGCACAGAGGTAGGCTAGCTTTTGAGGGTTTCTGTCCTCATTTTTTTTCCCTTGGCTGCTGCTTAGTAGCTGCAGAGAAAACACAGACAAAGCACATTTGAGTGTGTTCCTGTGGGGCTGGTTCTATTGGGTCTCATCGTGAGGCACCTCAGTGTTGAGAGTGCCAGTGTGCCCCAGGCCTCCGTGCTCTGTGTGAGAAACAGGAGACTCAAAGTTAGGTAAACCCTCATATAAGCCCTGCATGCCTGCAAGGGAAGGTGAATATTCATATATTTATTGTAGCTATCATTAGCCAGTGTTCATTTCACAATGCTGTCAGAGGATGGGTTATGGCAGAAGTCCCAACCATGTGCTCTGTGGCAGCCCCACATCTGCCATCTGGATGTGTTAATTGTGTGGAGAAGGTGCTACCTGCCTTTGATTGTGTGAATGTGTGCAGTTCCTCTGGTCAGTCATGGCACAGCACTGTCCTGTCAGTGTGTTGCTACAACTGTGTTAGTAAGAGCAGCTGTGAACTGTGTGACTCAAGCTGATTATGCCTGGCCTGATAAAATATGTGTAGATGTTTTCTGTATCACCTTGTGTACTTAGGCAATTCTAAAGGCCACTGATAACGGATATTGTTACCATATCCTTGCTGTGTTTTTTTTACTTAGCCTGGAAGGTGTAAGTAAGGATTAGAGAGAAACTTTGTACCTAGAGCAGACAGGAGTCATCCATTAGCAGGTAGATGGACTGCACACCTGTTCTTATTCTTTCTGTAGTCTGGGATTGAGAGATTATTTATCTGGTGTTTCTGCATTCTTTTAAAGAAAATTCTAAATAAGCATTTGTAAGAGTATTAAAATCTATCATTTGATTTTAAGCACTTCAGCTATCATCATACACAAATGCAGTTTTCAGCAGCAATCTGGAAGAAACAGACTTGGATATGTTACCTTAAAAAATCTGAACACAGGAAACCCAGTGGAAATTAGAAATTGAAAGACAATGTTAGAGCATTATGGCAATGTCAGAACTGGCATGTTGACCCAGATTCAGTGTTTTCTGCTGAACACTGTTTCATGTGAAACAGGTTTATAATGCCTGATATGAGGAATCCATGGCTGTTAGGAAGTGTTGATTTAAGTATGATAAATTCCATCACAAGGCCCTATTTTTTATCTGTCTTTTGTACTACAAAGTCTGAACTTAACAGATGATCAAATCAGTTTTGCAGAAGGATACTTTGCTCAGTGATGTGTCTTCACCTCTCAGGTGCAGAAAGCTGCCAGCAGCCCACTTCTAGTGGCTCCAGGCAGGAAACAATAATTTTCTTTTTTTTCCAGATATCCAGTACAGTTTCAGTAGAGAAGTAATAAGCAAATGCAGGAGCATGTACTGCCATGGAACCAAACCTTGCTTACGATGCCAGCCATAGGTTTTGTGCAGCAGTAATTCAAGGGTGATGCAGAATGATATCACATCTAAGAATTAGTTTGTCTTGCTCATGACTTGTCCAAGTGTCTGCCTGTGGTGCTCCATGCTCAGGGTCTGCTAGCAGTTGGCTATATATATATATATATATATATGTATTTGTATAAAAACATGATATATTTATATGTGAGATATATATATATATATGTATCAGCCTATGTCAGGAGCCCATCTCATCTCAGCACAGGGCCATGAGTCACTGCCCTCTGTGTATCAGAAGATTCTCTCTGTAGTTCATATCTCTTGCTGCCATGGGCAAGTTGGAAATGGAGAAGAAGGAAGGGTACCACCAAAAGGGTGCAAATATCCCCCTCTCATACTGACTTTTGCCTCTTGTCATAGTGTCTCTCTTCTTTGCTCAATTTCATACAAATGATGTCATTTGATTGAGATCAATGTAGATGTACCAGTGTTGTCTATCCTCTGAATGTTGGTATCTTATAATAATTTAGAAAAATAGGCTGTAAATGCATTTGAAGGGTATTGAGCAATTTTTTGTTTTTCTGTTTGAGATATTTGGGAGAGAATTTGCTAGTGTGAGAAGTGTAACATGATGCCCAGAAATATTGTATGCTACTCTATGGCCCATAGTGTTCAGGTTCCTGATTTGGGATTAGGCTTTCCAAGCCAAATATTCACTTTTAATTTATTTTATTTGCCCAGTTTTGTGGTGCACGCACTGTTGACAAACAGAAAATATAAATGGCATAGCTCAGAAAACCTTGTGAATGCTAGAAGTGTTTTTATAACCTTTATTTTCCTCTCTCATACTAAAGCAAAGAGATCTGCGAGGCAAATGAAACCATTATGTGCCCTATGTGTGAACGCAATTGCACACTACAAAAACTCAACGAAAGCTGCATATATGCCAAGGTAATTATTGTGTTATTGCAATCAAGATGATTGTGGTTGTAAAATGGCTGCCCTTGTTTCTGCCAAGTTTCCTAAAAAGCATGTTTTTTTTCTCTACAGATGTTGTTTTCAGCCTTTGCAATGCATCTTTCTAATGTGGGAGTGCTCTAAAGTGATCTGGGGTTTTTCTAAAATTCCTTTCTGTGAGAATTTTCTTATAAATAAATTCATATTATTTTCATCAAGTTAATTAATTCCTCTTTGATGACTTCATAATTAAACTTTTTGTAAGGTTTTTCCTACTTTTCTCTGTAACTATCTTGTTACTCTGTTTCCTTTGCTTACTTTCTATTTGAATTTTTGCTCCTGCTTTGGTCTGTCAAACTAATGCGAAGATTTTATACAATTAAATATTTTGCTGCAAGAATCTATTCTTCAAACTTAAATAATCACACCAGAAATTGCAAAATACCTAGGTAGAAGAACAAAATGGAATCAAGAGACAGTAAATATGTAGATGGAGAAAAGTGAAGAGGTTTTTTAGCTCATAAAAAACCTTAAAATAGAAATGGTTGAGATTAAGTTTGACCTACCATATGACAAGAATTCTGGATGAAATTTTAGTCTGTCTGGACATGGACAAAACAGCTCAGTGTCTGTGAAACAAAATGACTGGTGATGCATAAAGTAATAGTCTGGAACAGCAGATTTCAAATTATACAGGATGTCAGAGTGTGACATTGACAAACCTTGGTAGAAGAAACATGCTAGTAGAGCTACTTATGAGAAAGCTTAGCTTTTGGTTTCTGATGCCAGTTGTCTACTCTGGGACTATTTGGGGCAAAAGATGAGGTGGCAGTATTGTTTTTTCCTGATGTGTTCATTTTTTAATTCAGGTTACACATTTGTTTGATAATGGAGGGACTGTCTTCTTTGCAATTTTCATGGCAATTTGGGGTAAGTACATTTCTACTTTGTTGGTTTTTTTTTTATTTTTAGTCCACCTGACCCTTTTATATGATTACTTGACAAAGGAGATTTTAGCTCTGGATAAAAGTTACAGAAGGATTATGATTTTGCCACACAAATTAATTTTTTTTCATTTTCATTAACTTAAATTTCCATGGTAGTAATGGGTAACACCTTTTATATAAATGTATGTATATAAACACCTAATGTAATGATTGTCTTTAGGGTCCTAAATGTCTTTAAGCCTGAATTTTATATTGGTTAGGCCAAAGTCCTTTTGCAGGAAAACATGTGGGTAGTGTTACTGATCTTGAGCCAATATCAAAAACACATCTTGTAGAGGGTTCTTATAGAATAAATGAGAATGGTTTTATGGAAACTAATTAGAGGAAGGTATAGGAAAGGTTTGAGGTTAAGTGCTTACTGCAGTTAAGGTATTTCCATTGAAATTCTCAGTCTGAATCTCTTGTTATGTTCCCAGTGCCGTCGCACACATCGTGTTGTGCAGCTCAAAGCCAAGCAGGGGTGCATCCACAGAGGACACTGCTGAGCAGGAGTTACCAAAAACAGTCCTGCCTCTCAGTGTAATAGTGCCATAAAAGACAGATTTAATGGGCCCAGCATTAAATCCTCAGTAGAATTAGCTTTCACTGCAGCTAAGAGGATTTTGCTGCTGGGAAATAGGGAAGAAGACAGAACCAGAGATAACTGGTTCTACCAATGAACATGTTTGTCTGTGTAAACACTGAGAAAATGACACTAGTTCACACACATAGAGCTGTCTGCATTCAAGCCAGAGTTTCACAGTTTTGAATTAAATGGTACACAACATCTTTATTTATGTAACATGTATGAGTAAGTATTAAGGACTCTAATTTAAAGTAAGAACAAATGTCACAAATTTTGGAGGCTGGCATGGTAAAAGCAAGTAACGATGTACAAACAACAGCAAAACATCATATAGTTACATGGAGAACAGAAGCACATCCCCATCCATGCAAGAATTATGATTGGGTTGCTAAAAATTAACATATTATAACTAAAGGGCACACTTTGATTAATTTCCTCATTCATACTTCTTCATTTATTGCTAATCTTGCTATTACTGTCTTCCAATTAATAATGATTACTTTGAAAAATTCCTAAAATACAGTTCATTTAATTATATAGTTAGCAGTGCAGACAACAGAGGTAGCTTCCTAGCATTTCTTCATCTCTAAGTTCTCCTTCAAGTGAGCTCTTTCCATTTTCATCTGAGGGCAAGATTGAAGTGTGAGGAGTAATTTGCTTATATGACACTGCTTTACCACAGGAAAGATGGTATTATGTGGGTTAAGGAAGGTGAAAGCTGAGGATTAAATATTTCTTCATTTCAAGCATCAGAGTGATATTCTTGTGTAATATGGGTTAATCTGTCTCAGATTTTCAGTCTGCTTCAAAACATGCTGCATACTGTGTTAGAAATCAGGTCCTGGCATTGATGGGACATAATGCTGTTTTTATGACTGAACTCAAAAAAAAGGCAAAATTGCATATATGGGCTGAAATCTTTAATATTTAAAATAAATACCTGGTTTGCTCATATTCAGTATGACTGACATAGTTTCTCTCTGGAGTGTTATGTGCATGTAATTTACTCACATATTGAATAAAACCTCATGGCATCATTCACAGACAGTGAGATAATTCCATTCCTTCAGTGTGATCCACAGTCTCCACACTAATTAAAGTGTTTTAGCAGAGCATAATAACCAGGACATATCCCTGATGGGTAGTTTTCTCTGCACTTTATTTTGTTTGTTCTGTGCCTTTACAGTTGTTTCTTTTACATATTCTTTCTTTCTATTTAGACACATCTGGTAATTGCAAGCAGATAATCTATGCAATTATTTGCTTTATGTTGCCATAGTTTTACTCTTTAGCTGGAAAGAACTGGACCATGCTTTTTAGGATACCTATATATGTATCAGAGATAATTCCTTTCCTCTGTTGTTAAGTATTTCTTCTATCTAATATGTATTGACATGTTTTAAATAATTTCTACAGATCCAGCCTGCAACTCAAACAACAGATCTGTTCGATGGAAGAATAGAAGCTTGTAATCTTTTTTCCCATTGATGGTGATAGTAAGTCAGTGTAATCTAGTATAGGTTAGATGTAGCTCATTTTACTCAGTAATTCCATCCTCCCCAGCAAACTTCAAGTAATCCAAATTAAATAATCCAAGTAAACCTAATCAGTCTTGGCATATTCACTGAAGAAGGTACAGACGTAAATTTGGGAAAATAATGACCCGAGTCGTTTTTCAGATAGAAATTATATTAGGATGGAATAGTTTCACTTCAAAGTAGTGAAGTTGTGGATGATTTTTTTGTATTGATACTAAAATATCATTGTAGTCCTAGTCAAATGTTTCTCTGTTACATTGTTGACCAAAGCTACACAGCAGAATCTTGCCTGGGTGCTCTTTTTCTTTGTTATTTCTAAGAAAGCAAGTATAATATCCTTCCAGGAAAAGCAGAGGTTGATCATTTAATTACAAAGTAGAGGAGTGATGCTCTGCTACTGAACCCTGCCTGTTGAATACTGGTGTGTCTTGTGATTTTTCCTAACTTTTCAAGACATTGTTTGCACAGTAATGGCTGTATGGTAACAACGGCCAGGTTGTTTTGCGAAAAATGAAAGGGATGTAGATAACAGGCAAGAATATAATCTGAAGCAAGCATTGCAATGAAGGGTGGGATGGTGTGATGTCAGCCATTGGAATGCCATCAGATGGGCACCCTGCATTGTCTTCCTCTGTCTTGTCTGCTGTGAGGCACCTCTGATTCTTATTATACGGTTCAAGAGAGTTGTCTTAGTGAAAAACTGAAGGAATAACGTAAAAGGTTTTTTTATATGTGCTTGAAAGATTTGAATCACTATCTGCTGGGTTTATCACTATCTGCTGAATCACTACCTCGTGGTTTAATTCAGCTGTCACTCACATGTATCACATGTAAGTCCAGTTAAATGCTTTTTAACATAGGGGAGAGGAAGAGATGAGAGCCCTGATTCATTATTTCTGAAGATAACTCATGTCCTTCTAGCAACACCCATTCAGCACTCCCATGGGTGGTCAGCTTTCAAAGCTGCTTCCTAATCTGATGTTCTGGCAGCTTTCAGCTCTTGCTTTTAAGCTGAAAAGGGCATATTGCCAAAATTTATTTTGATTTTATTTTCTATGAGAAAAAAAGATGTGTTTGGCCTCTCAGTAATTGTTTAAATATTTAAAAATAAGGACCAGGAACATGATATAGATGTTTGGACTGTGATTGCACTTCAGTACAAGTTTTTACATACTCATGGAGAAGACAAAAGCAGTCATCTTTTTAAACCTCTTAAAAATATTTTTGCTTCTGAAAACAGATGTAGCTTCGTCCCTAATTTTGTAACTGACATTGGATCACTAAAGAGTCTAGTTTTTTTTCAGTTAATCAAGGTTTGGGAGAGCGCTTTTTTTTTTTATAGTTTTATACTTGCCCACAATTCTTTGAACAGGTTCACTGATGCTAGATACTATTTTCCTGATATTTCAGAGCTTAAAGAAATAACTTGTAAGGAGGAGATAGAAAGTTAAGAGACATACTGGTTAAGCTAAATTTTTTAAATAATAAATTAATGTCAGTTGAAAGCTAGTTGGGCTGGAGTCGATGATATCCTAATAATTCTGTAAGATGAGACAATTTAAGCAGCCCTGTGCAGAAATAAGAAACACTTATGCAAAACACTTGTGCTGTTCCTTACCTGGGTCACTCCTTGTGTCAGCATAGAGATGTCTGTGGGAAATAGGAATTTTCTGTGTGAAAATTACTCGGGCCTCTTCGTAGCACATATAAAATATCCAACCAGGCCGATTAATACAGATCCCAAAATGGCTCCTGCAGAGATGCCAGCTCTTTCTTCTTCTTTGTTTTTCTCTGTGAGAAAAAGAAACAAAGATGAAACAGTTGAATAGGAATAATAAATCTATAAAACCAGTGAGTGAGACTTTTCAGCAAGGGTCTGAAACACTTTGCAAGCTATAAGTAAACCAGCCTATCTGCAGAAACTTTCTGCCTTTGTAAATGAAAACAGACATCTCCATCCTTGAAGTTTGGGGGAATAATGGGGATTTAGGAAAAAAGCCACTAAATTAGTTTTTAATCAAATACAAAGGTTTCAGTTTTAATTACTGAATCACAACTATTTTTTAATTAAAGAAAAAAAACAGTAATCATTTTTTGAATGCAGTTATTTGTAAGCATTTTAGACAGCAGTTAATTTTGGATTACTTGCAGCCTCTGAATTTCAGTTTCTATGTGTGCAAAGTTAAAAATTCAGTAATGCTTCATGCACCTGTTTAATTAGCAGAATAAATGCATTTCTTCAAGATTTTCCCTCAATTTTCATAAGACTTTTCTTCAAGATACACAGTTTTTCTTGGAAGTGAACGTGCTCTCCAACTCTGATTCCTTTTCAGTTGATGTTAGCTAAAAATCAGGTGCCTTGTAATTATTAGCTATGTATTAACTATGATGGGAAACATGAAAGTCTGATGATCCTTCAGTTCTTAGTACAAACTGTACTTTCAGTCCTGTGTTAAAAGCTTGAAAGCTAATTAATACTAAAAATTACTGTGCCTTCTAATCTTTTCTTTTCCTGAAGACCTGATTCAGAATAGCAGGATAGAAAAGTGCAATGACAATTTTATGTTCCATTGTTTTCCCACGCATACTTAACTTGGTAATTAAATGCACAATGAGTAATTCCTTTGGAACTGTTTATGAGAAGTCATCTTTGGTCACAAAAATTTCTGAACTTTAATAAGTTGATGTGCTGTATATTTTAAATCTAGTTTCTACATATCTGCTTTGAAGGTCCATTCCAGTGAAAACAGGCAATATCTGTCACTAGGTTCTCCCACTCTGGGAAGTGTTAAATAATTAATTGAAGTGTAAATAATTTGA